ACCAAGCCATGCCACACCCACCAAGCCACACCCACAGAACCAGTATTAAAAATTTTTGAAACCCACCACTGATTATTAGCAATAGCAATAGCACTTATATACCACTTCACAGTGCTTTACAGCCCTCTCTAAGTGGTTTTTACAGAGTCAGCATGTTGTCCCCAACAATCTGGGTCCCCATTTTACCCACCTCGGAAGGATGGAAGGCTGAGTCAACCTTGAGCCTCGCCACCGATTACTTGCCTAACCAAGGAGAAAATGTGGATAATGCACATTTTGCATTACCCACAAGAAATAATGCAATTTCTAACAAAGAAATGAAATTATAACAGTGAAAGACTTTACCCTGACATCTGCTTTGGAAAAATGACCTGCATAGATTATCTTTCCAGGAAATTCCTGACTCTCCTTGTTGACAACTTTCTCCTTCAAAAGGTAGAAGACACAAAAGAATCAGCTATACTTGAGTGTATTTGATACAATGGGTATATTTGATACAATCAGTGGCTAAAACTTAGCTGAAGAAGTGGAAATAACAAGAACAATAAAGCAAAGTGACTATAATGTAAGGAGTTCATTTTTAAGGGAATCTAAAACTGACCATCAAACAACAAAAAAGTGGTTTTTTCCCCCCTTCAATTCTTAGAGCAATAAGAAGAATCTCCTAGCTCGACGAGTTATTTGGAAAATGAGTTTAAAAGCTGTTGAAATCCTTAAAAGGGGTTTCCAGAAGCATAGTTGCTAACAATATCATTCTTTTAAAAGAAAATCACAAAGAAGTCAAGATAGCTAGACCTTAGCGATGATCTGAGAACAACCACAAATACATTACTGTAATGGAAAGACAGACTTGCAAACAAAAATCAAGATATTGACCCAGAAGCAGCTATTTTGCCATTCTAGAATCCATGATTTAAGAAATTCAGTGATGTGCCATTTAATAAATGCTTATATGAATTCATTCCCAAGAGAATGCTGAGGAACCATTCAGTTAATAAGCTGAATGGAGTGGGGCGGCGGCGGGGTGGGGGGTGATTTACAATTTATAAGGCTAAAGCAGGGGTGAAATCCAACAGGTTCTTACAGGTTCTGGAGAACCGGTAGCGGAAAATTTGAGCAGTTCAGAGAACCGTTGTGGAAATTTTGAGTAGTTCAGAGAACTGGTGGGAATGGAGATTTTGCAGTATCCTTCCCCCAGGAGTGGGGTGGAAATGGAGTTTTTGCAGTATCCTTCCCCTGCCACACCCACCAAGGCCACGCCCACCAAGCTACACCACGCCCACCAAGCCACGCCCACAGAACCGGTAAAAAAAATGGATTTCACCACTGGGCTAAAGAATTGGTTGGCCTGATAGGATGAAGACTCAAACAGGCTGACCTTGTTATGAAGCAGCATTGCTTGGAAGTATAGCTAGTTAAAACACTGGCCTACATATAACCTCACATAAAATAGTGGTTTCTGCTAAAATGAGTGTTGATATATTTGGATTTATAACAGACAGCAGGGAAAGATAAATGAATAATACAAGTGCTGTTATCTGATACACTGTGGATTATTTGGAGAAGACTAGCTGAGAATTGCCCTCATTTAGAGATGCTTCAATTATACCTTGTTTGCTTACTAAAAAGCTGTTCTGCAGTTTATAACAATAATATTATATCAGTTAATAATTTCTTGGAAAGCTTGTGCCAGATCAATCAGGTAGAGTGTATTCATTTGAATAATAAGAATTTTAGATAAAGCATTCCCACAGCTCTGATGTATCTGCCTGCTGTTATTGTGCAGAAGTAAGTCAAAATTTACTAAGAGATGTTTTGCCAAAAAAAAAGTCTATTTTAATTTTTCTATTAAAAAAAAGTAAGACTGGTTTGCAGAATTTTTTCTAAATGGTCTTCATTTTTCTTTTTTCCTTTTGTGGTGAATCATATTTTTCCCTTGCAATGGGGAATTCAGGTTTTCAATGCTGTTACCATTTAGCAATAAAAACCCCATTAGTATTGTGTCCATTTAGAAAAAATTGAGGGGAGCCATTGCTTTTTGGGATAGTGCCTTTTTAAAATTTTTGTCTGATGCGGGATTGACTTATTGTAAAATGTCCCATTTCTGAGTCAATCGAGGTGCGGTCTTCATTTCATTTCATCTCCTTCTATTTCAGTTTTTTTCCTCCTTTGGAATTTGTAAAAATTCTGCAATACATGGATGCATTGTCATGGATGAAAATTGGTTTGTGTTTCAAGTACTCACAAGTAACTTTAGTTATTCTAGTTCTGGAATAGAAGTGATAAATATGAAAACTATAGGGAGATAAGTCCTGAATGTGGATAGATGTACTTGGATGTACTTAATTGCTTGCTGCTCCATCTCAGTTAAAAATTATCAAACTTAATTTATGAAACTAAAAGCAAAAAGGCCACAAGGAGAGAAATCACAAATATGGATATAGGTGAAGCAAGAGATTTCAACTTTGGGAAAAACAAATTATCTTTTCACATTCATCAAAGAATATTAAATCAAGAAACAAATTCATCACTATACACACAGACAATAATGTTCTCTAAATGATTTTCTCTATTTTATGTCTTCCTCGGGTTTTTTAAAAGGTTTAGAAAAATATTGGTGATTTTAAAGCTGTGTTTTTGCACAATTTTATTGCACAATATTTTGTACAATATTTTACACAATATCATGTGGGTAAAGAATAAACATTGATGGACTACAAGTTCATTCAGACTGCCTTTTTTCTTGTAGGTTCATTAGTTTTTAAATAAACTGAGAAGGGAAGTTTGTCATGTAAATATATTAAATGTCCTAATGTTGACAAACTGCATGTCTGCACAGCAATGACCTTAAATGAACAGCATTTGCAGTATTTCATCCAAAGAATTGGAGAGAAACTATGGCAGTATTCTGAATTGGTAGCTGGTATTTGTTGGAATAGAATCATGGAATAGAATCATTCTTAACCCTGGTTTCACAGATTTCATATAAATGCTTCTTTATTGATTCCTGAGCATTCCTGCTTCCAATCTGACCCGTGCTTCTGTACCTTTCTTGTATCTCATCCCTTTTTCCTATAATTGGTATCAGTTCTTCATTACAATTGTATTTTACTATGGTTGTGATATGAGCAACTCCACATGGAGGGACAGAGATGGAAAAAATGCATCCTGCTTTGACAACTTGTTCTGTGGTGGTATACTGAAAAACATAAGCCTTATGAGCTTATATAAGCGTGCTACTGCATCTATCTAAAGTGTTTCTTCCACATTTAAATGCTTTTAATTTTTTTCATAAGGCTGTGGTTTAAGAACATGGTTATCTTCCTTTGATTTATATGAAGCAATGATAAATGTTCTATAAAGCCAGAATTCATTAATCATTGTTACTAGATCTTCCAAACACATGAGAAGTCCTTTGGGAGAACGGCGGCATATAAATAAATGAAATAAATAAATGAAGAATGTAAATCAATATTGAATTTTATTTTGCAGTATAAACAATGTACTTATTTATTTTATAGCTAAATACTGTATAGGACAAGATGCAAGCAAAGTAGTCATTCATGGGATGAGATACCTGTAAAGATTTCTTTCTTTCACTGGGTCTATAAGGGCAATAGAGCTAAATAATATTTGAGGCTGTTAGTTCACAACTTAAAATTATTAATTTAAATATAATCTCAACTAAGTCAGCAACATTTCAGTTCTTTTATTTTTGTGGTTATGTTTAGTCAGGGTTGCATCTGAACTACATGCTGCTTTTCATCCCTACTATCAATGTGAATAGCAGACTTAAAAGGAGAGTCTATTTCGAACTGTGTATCAGTAGGAATTTGGAAACCTGATCACTGTAGAATTTTCCTCACTGTGCCATTTCTTTGATTTATTTTCATGATTCAGTCATTGGTGAGTCATCTTGTGGTTTTTGATATGAGCTTAATCAATTTAGTTAGTATTTATTGTGTTCACTTAGAGTAAACATCTTGTGTAATATAAAAATTATTCTGAAGATATTCACAGCACAGGTGGCATAGAAATACTATCAGGAATTGACCTCAGCTTGAATTTTATATATCATAAATTATATAGAAAATGTACAGAAGCATTATACTCACAAGATGATTTCATGAAATATTTGAACGTACCTTGAATTATTTGCAAAAAACATAATAAAGGTAGGATACAAACTAAATAAAATAGATTTCTAACTTTACCTGAAGTCTTTCCATCCAAGTAGATCACAAGTAATATGAAGCAACTATAATTCTTGATTACCATATTTTTCAGAGTATAAGACACACTTTTTTCTCCCCTAAAAGAGGGTGAAAATTTGGGTGTGTCTTATACACCAAATGTAGCCAAAAATGTGAGGCACGGAGGAGACGATGGTCTATGGTAATCCCTGCAGCCTGGAACAGCTGATTGGGGGTCTTCTGGGAGGCCGATCCACCCGCCAATCAGCTGCTTGTGCTGAATCAGGCTGCAATAATGTGCTGAAGCTGACCTGGCTGTTCGCTATTTGCTGCAAGGACTGTCAGAGTTTGTAGCAGCAAACAAAACACAAGCAGAGGAGAGGAGTTTCAGTTTTAGTTTCAGAGATCAGCATAGCATGCAGCTTTAGAACAGTTGACCTAAGCCGAACCCAGGCTCCTTGCTGTCTCCTTCCTTATTGCTCACACAGCAAATACTGTTTCAGTTTCTAAACAGTCTCACACACTGACAGGACACTAGCCAGATTAATACTGATGGATGCTGGTAGGCAGAGGCAGATTTTTTTTTCTTATTTTCCTCCCCCAAAACTAAGGTGCATCTTACACTCCGGAGCATCTTATACTCCAAAAAAATACGGTAATTTGTTTAAATTTTTGCTTATTATGGTCTTTTGTACAGTACATTTACAGTAGATCTCAGGCAGTAGCTTACTGACTTGGGAAAAAGTAGTGTATTGATGCAATTAATTTGCACTTTTTAATGGAGTATGAACTTTGCATATTTTGCAGAACCGTTAGAGGAACTAAAGATCAGAAGTCACAGTACCGAACCATTACCAAAGCTGGAAAACAAAGAAAAAGGAGGTCATCATGGGTCATCTTCCAGAGAGCCAATAAAAGCTCAGGAATGGGATGGAACACCAGGACCATCACTTGTGTCTAACCGACTTGGAAGGTCTTCTGTTAGTCCAACCATGTTGGCAGGAAATAATAGTTCAGGTAGGTATAGTTAGACCCATTTGCATAGCAATACAATAAACAAATAGTACTATGGATTTCTAGTGAAAATATTTGTGAAATTCACAAAAATCAAGATTACTTCAACATGGATGGTACTTCAACAAAATGTAATTAGGTGATAATTATCTTTCTTTGGCCAAAATTATATGCCAAACAAGAACATGGTAATACTTGTCTAATTGCAACCTATTTTAATTCTTCTCCATTTTTTAATTTTCTCTAAGTTATTTTCTGTGTATGCATTCTTGTATACTCTTTTGTGACATTTTGATTAGTTTTATAAGTAATATTGCACATGTACAGGTTATAGTATTACACAATTATTTTAATTGATGATCAATTTATCTACTACTACTATGATTTTTTTAACATATGATTTTACTATGATTTTCTACTATGATTTTTCTAATACTATGATTTTTACTACTATGATTTTTTAAAAAAACTGCTACTATGATTTTCTATGATTTTTTTAAAAAAAACTGAAATAACAGACAAGAAATCTAATCCAAATATCTCTATACAACCTAAAAATAGTTTACTTTAGTTCATAACTATGATTTACTCACAATTCTGAACTTTTTGATAGCTTAATTTCTACATTTGGCTTGTTGTTAGCTAAAACTTTTGGTTTTGTTCCAGTGAATTTATGAAACCCTAGTTAAAACTGAATTGTTGATTAGGAACATAAGTCAAGTATACTCTGAGTAAGAGGGAATTTCACAACCAGAATAATCTCTTATGGCTAGTGTATTGCTGGCATATAAAGAAGCCTCAGGAATATATCCCCACTAGATTTTAGTTGCTAGGCAGGTACAAAAGGGAGTTCACACTATACAAACAATATAAGGCATTATATGCCATTACAAGCACTTAAAACTTAGTAAATTAACAGCAACCTAGCCATGACAATTTGGACTGGCTGCAACTTCTAGCTCAACCTCAAAGGTAACCTAGGTATTGAATTGAAATTACCCAGTCAAGACCCAATTCTATAATCATGCTTTGTGAAATACAAGGAGCTGAATAAAACTAAACAAGTAGAAAATGTATGCTGTCTATCAAGTTTTCATTGCTTCAGATTTAAAGAGTGGGGGGAAGGCATGTGCATGGAGGGTACTAATGGACCACCAGAGGATAATGCTTCAAGTTGCTGCACCTTTTCCTGGGATCCCAAGCTATCCAGCTGCAGCAGAATTGTAGGAAAAACACACATTGGACTATTAACAGGTGCCATTTTCTCTTTGAAGCTAGAACATTGTAAAGCTTTGTTATCTACATACAACCATAGGAAATACAGTATCAGTTTTTTTCATGTGGAATTTGAACTAAAGATTAGAAGTATAAAAAGGAGATCAGTAGTCTGGAGACAATTTTTAAAAAATATATAGTAGTTGACTTCTCTTTTACTTGCCAAATCAGCTACTTCTGTATAAAAATTATCTTTGCTTGCTGTAAGGATGAGTAGAAAGTTTTCAGCAATGGAGCCAGCTGAGGCTGGTTTTACACCGTGAGATAAAGGAAACTCATGGTAGTTTTCATGTTTTGACTACAATGAAAATAGAAAGCAAAAGTCCATTCTCCCCTCCAAGTCCTCATCCATCCTAAAGTACAGCTGTGTTCTGGATTTTGTTCATTTTATCCTTCTGTTGTAGAATTGATTGTTGCTATTATGTGACGTTGGCCAATTAGGTCCAATTTTTTCCTTTTTATACATGCCACCTCCTTAAGAATATGCTGTTGCTTTTTCAGTGAAGACCACAAGGGGTTCACAAAATGGAATTCTTTAGTGAGCTTAATAGTAGATATTTTGAAGAACATTTTCTACAAGCTTATAGCTGCTAGAAGATGGTATTTTGCATTGCCATCTGCTGTTGGAAACATGCACTGCATCTCATTTCCAAATACTTCCAATATTATGTTGCCTATGTCTGGATGTTTTTAATAACTTAACATTCCAGATCTTGGAAAATCATTCAGCAAATCAATTAGAAAAACAGAATGCTTGCCAAATGCTTGCCAAATCATTTGGAAAAACAGAAAATAATGAGGGACCTATTCTACCTGATTCTTAAACTTAGATGTTATGATAAAATTATGGAAAAGGATGCTCTACACTCTTTCCCGTTTCTTCATTGAAATGTGATTTTAATTCACTTCCAAATATTTAATAGATGAATATATATGATTATACCCCCACTATCCCTGTATACAGAAACGTGTATATACATAATCCCAATATTGCTGTTGTTTAAAGTTGCTGAATCAAATATATGAAATATAAATGATGTGCAAGGAGTATCTCCAAAAAAATAATAATTCTGATTGCAGTTGTGGAGACGTTCTGATCTTTGTATGGACTGTGATGGATTCTAATTTCTGTGTTCCTACATAGAAAGCCAGAGCCTCATATCCCATTGTATAGAAACGGCATGTCTGGCCTATTCCACATGCTGGATAAACGAGTCAGCTGAAAATTGAAGAAGCAGCCCCAACCTTCCTACTTTCGTTGACACACAATACTTAGGAGATGAGTAGAATCATTTCTGCAGATAAAAAGGTCTTCAGTGAGATATGTAATAAGTGTAGAAAATCAGTGGTGAAACCCTCAGCGGATTGCCACCGGTTCACTGCCCATGCATGTGTGGTGTGCACCAAAAGCATACTGTGCACACACATGCACAGTGCATGCCAAACACACATGCATGTGCACATGTGCAGTGTGCCAAACGCGTGCTTCATGCAGAAAAAGAAGGCTTAACAAGGTAAGTAGAACAGCGAAGAGGGGGAATAGCTGTGCCGCGCAATTTAGGTTCACTAGGAAGCAGGATTTCCTGCTTTCTAGTGAATATAAATCACGCGGCACAGTTGATTGTTGGAAATACTGGTTTGCACGAACTGATAGCTTTTATCACTACTTGTTCACCAGAACCGGTTCGAACCTGTAGCATTTCACCCCTGTAGAAAATGTTTCAAAATGAGTGCATAATGTCACAATGTTTATTTTAAAGAATGCTATACCATTTTCATGGCAGATAAAAAAATATTCCTAAAGTGCAGTCTATTTGATTGCCTACATCATTGCTCAGTTATTTTTTACTACTAACTACTATCATTACCACTACTATGATTTGAACCCTTTGGAACATCTTACATATATATGATTCTTTTTTTTTCTAAAAAGGAAATCCTATTAAGTAATTTTGCCTGCAAAATATTATTTGCAATATTAATTAAAATAATTGCAATATGAAAAATATTTACAACTGTTTGAATTTTCCTAGTGATCTGGACTACAAGGACCTAACTGTTTCATGTCTATGGGGATGTTTCCTATGTCAAATTGAATTAGTATGATGTGTCTCTGGAAGGGAAAGCAGTGATATTATGTTTTTTAAAAATTCATGTTGGAAATGTGCATATCTAATGTGTAGTATTGTGACAGCATGATTGTTGTAGTTTGTAGAATCGATTTTATATTCTTAAACATGCAAAAACAGCAAAATACATCTGAATGGTGGTGATGGTGAAGACTTTAAAGAAAAAACATGTATTTACTATTTTTTTTCTTTCCAAACTCTGATCCTCGAAGACTGCATGGCAAGTTTTCTTGGCAAGGTTTTTCAGAAATGGTTAGCAATTGCCTCCTTCCTGAGGCTCAGAGGGAGTGTGTTGCCCAGTTGGCTTTGTGCCTAAGGGTACAAGGGTAGAAAACACAGTCATCCAGTTTCTAGCCTGATGCCTTAACTCAGGGGTGTCAAACTCACATCGTCACAGCGAAATCACGTGACATATTGGGACCTTTTCCCCCTTCGCTAAACCGGACATGGGCATGGCCAGCAGCTGACGCATCCAGCCCGTGGGCCAGGAGTTTGACAGCCCTGCCTTAACTGCTATACCAACACACCACTCTAAACCCAAAGAATTAAGACTGCTACTTCAGTTCTTCAATACTTCAGCTTCTCCCAAGGAATCAATATCTTTGGTGCCAACCACTCCAATTCTCTCTAAATTGCTCCAAGGTCTGATTTTGAATGCTATAACTGGCCTGCAAGCTGCCCACCCTTGGTCTAGATGTTACTATTTAGTTTTGGAAACTGGCAACACACAACACACTCTGTTATGACAGTTTGAACTCTGAAACTTCTATAGGCTTAAATTAGGTCCTTAGCAAGTCACTGGCCTTTTAAAGAATAAACAACATTCCAATTTTCACAAAATGCTTCTTGTTTATAATTTCTGACCAGGATATAGGACAGACACATTGCAGGACCTAGATTAGAAGTATTCTGTAGTACCTTGATTAAGTTGGTAAACTGATCAAGTTATTGGAGAACCAATTAAATCAAAGGTTTGGGAACTACTCTAGGGGGAAGGAAGTATAGGAGGCCAAGATGTTTCAGAGGGCTTGAGAGATGGACAGGGGGAAAAAATACCACTGCTCTCTCTCTACACAGTAATATAATGACAGCAAAAACCCAACAAAATAAATGTCCAAATACCTCAGAAATGAGATAGTAAACCAGAAGAAAAAAATTACATGCAAGATTGTTGGAATGCAAATGTCAGCATTTCATTCCTAGTTACATAACTAAGGCTTTTGAATATTGTATAGGAATGAATAAACTTTACAGCCTTTCCCAGCCTGTTTCTTTCTAGCTGGATTGGCCAATAGTAGCAATGGTAGAATTTATCTGGAAGCTTCCAGTTTATGCAGGATAAATATAATAACATTCATCATATGAACAGTAGCATTAGTCTCTCAAATGAAAAGTGGATTTGATTGAAATAAAACTTTTCCATTTGTTCTATTCTCTTCTTGTAAATAAATACTAATAAATAATATTTTTTTCCATTATTTTGGAAGCAAAAAGTTAAGAGGGTGGAACATTCACAGAAGGCTTCTAAAATGAGAGAACTTGACATTTTTATAGGCATATCATCCTGGAAATTAAAGAAGAACAAACACCATCTCTCTCTTTCTTTGATGTCAGATGAAAGGATTTTGTTATTATAGACATCTTTAAGGATGATGTGCATGCCTAGCTGAAAAGGCTGGGTTTTATTGTACACAACTCAGAAATTGTGGTAGGCAATGATTTGATGGATTCTTCTTTTCTTTTCTTTTTTATGATCAGCAATGTACAATGGCCTAAGATGGTGGTAACAGCAAGCATGCACAGCTATCAAATCTATACCTATTTATAATATAACTATTAAGAGATAAGTACTAAGTTGACCACTTCATATTCTATTGGAATGAAGGAAAACAATGGAAATTATATCTCAAAAGTGCTTTTTTCAAAAGACAACTGGACTGTTTTTTGAGCAAGAAGAAGATGTTTTGCTTCGTCAGCTTCTTGGACAGTCCAGTTGCCTTTTGAAAAAAGCACCTTTGAGAAAACTATGACCTGTTTGACTGAGAATCTTCATAGACATTGGAAATTATGGTAGAAAAAGGCTTCTAATTTTTTCAGGTCAACAGTGATAAAGAATCAACCCTTTGTTTTCATCAAACATTCACAGCTACCAGTTCTACACATATTTTGTTTATGTATGAAATAGTTATCAAGATATTGCAAGATATAGTCTCCCTCAAGTTACATTTGACTCCTGATGATTTCATAGACACATCCATGCAGTTTTCTTGGCAGCCACACAGATCTGATTTCATACTGTCTTTTTCTGTGACGTTTAAACTATATTCATGGTATTTACTGGTACTGTCTCATCAGTGTAATAACCTACAGGCCTAACTCTGCTTTGTTTCTAAGCCAAGACAGCATTGGTCACCCAGACGCTGGTATTACTGAAAGTATTCAGTCAATTAAAAAACAAAGCATAATAGTGAAAGATAGATCTTTTTAGAGATGAAAAAGTGGCAAAAAAAATATTTTATTAGCTCTTCTCCAATAGCAGTTTTAGGAAAGGTGAAACTTAGTCTTATTAGGTTCGCCTTTAGCATATAGCCACAGGATAGGGAACTGAGACAGGAGGCACTGGAACAACATGTGAGACCCAGGTTTTAAAGCAATGTATTTGTTAAGTTTGAACTTTCTGGATTCCCTTAGTAACAGAAGTGGGTTCCCCATAGGACACATATGGCACCCTAGCCCCCCCTTTTTTGCAAAGCCTGAATCCTCCCTTGAGTGTACAATAAAATTCAGTGCAAAACATGGAAATTCAGCAATACAATTTTTCTAGCAAAATAAGCAGAAACACATCAAAATTCAAAAAAGAATAAAGCAAGTGAAGAAAACCAACACAGACAGTGCTGTGCCCTATATTTGAAAGCCTGTGGTTAGTCATCTAAAATAAAAGTCATCCTTAATATTTGAGGGACATCACATGATTACATGAGTGGGCAGGATTAGGGGTTGGGAGAGAAGCACACACTCCATGAGATGCTTCTTTTAGAGTTTCGACTAGAGTTTTCCCAGATTTTCCAACTTCAAATGACAGGAAACATTGCCTTCATTTTCAGCAGCCATGATTACAAAGTTGAAGAGCTCCACAAAGCCCTGGAGCTACAGTTTATCCAGATTGGCCCCTTAATTTAAGAGAGTGTAGAAGACTTCTCTAATCCATTCATTTTCCTTTCCAGAACCGAAATCAAGCTGCAGATTAGGGAGATCTGCTTCCACATCAGGTGTTCCTCCTCCCTGTGTTCCTCCTCTCAGGCAAGCCAGTGAACTGCAACCGAGCCAGGTACCATCGTTAGCCAATCGTGAATGACTTCCTGTGATGCAACATGCCAAATGTTCTCCCTTCTGTGTTTGTCTACCATCTGTTATTGTAAATTGTTCTTCTGCGTGTTTTGGTTTGATTTCTGTTTTTATGATATATGTGTGTGTGTCTCCCTTTCATAAGCAAAGAAATCTTATCGTTTCTAGCATCAAGCTTTCTTTGCAATGGTCTCCTCTTTAACATTTATTTGTCTCCATTCTGTAATATGAATATGGATCCTTTTTTACTCTATATGTAGTTAGTTGAATATCTTGTTTTGTTTTTTTAAAAAAATGGTCCTGTGTAGCAATTTTCTTTTCTGAAAAATTCTGCTTAAAAGCAGCATTTTATAAATTTGTGTTTTATATAATGTATATTTCTTTCAAGCATCTTGTCTATACCATTTTGTACTAGACTTCTCAGTGACTTTGTATACACAGTTTGAACTTGAATCTCTTTGTATTCTGTCATTTTGGGATAAGTGCATGAATAATTAAATAAAATGTGTGTGTGTGTGTGTGTGTGTATACATACACATATACCATGATTGTGTGTGTATGCATATATACTGTATATACACACATAAATCCATGCACATACATACTCAAAAACACACAACTTAATAAAAGGCTTATTTTCTATTTATCAGAAGTAATTTTGTTCCTCTGAAACTCCTAAATTACATATAATCATATTGTGACTGATCCAAAATATCCCATTTTTATAAAATAGCAAAAACCTTACAATAAGATGTCTAGATGTTAATGAAATTTTCATAGACAATGAATACCTGGGAAATTGATGTGTTCTTTGAACATGGTTTTGTATTTTCCTTCAATAGTGAGGTTCCAATGGAAGGATACATGTTATTTAATATTTGGGTACTGGGCAGGTTTTGCTGTGTGCCAGTATGCAAATTGGTATGGTCTTCAAACTGTTTGAGAAAATTTATACATTAAAGGAAATGTAATTCTTTGAATAAAAGCTGTTAGGGATAACTTTTTCCCCCCTGTAGCTTATCTAAGCAATCTTTACATGCTGAAAAAGAAAAGTTGTCTCATTCAATTTTTATCAAGAAGCATTTGGGCTTTTTTCCTCAATACAGTGATTCATTAATATGACTTGTAGACCATATCTAATTGTTCAGCTGCTTTTTCTGGGCAGTTTATGATTCTTTCTATATGTTAGTCCACATTTCGACTCCACAGTTATATTGCCCTCTAGTGTAATTTACTCCCAATAAATATATTCATGTGTTGTAGATAAATAGTGCATTTGAGACTCTCTGCTCATAACAGAAAGCAACTATTCTCTTCCCAAATGTGTCTCAAGTTTCAGTCTGTTTGCCACCAGCTCATATAGATGCAATATTGTCCTAGGTTTTGAAAATTTGAGTGAAGTAGACATCGATTTATGACCATTTGTTTAATGATCTTTTGTAGTTACAATGGCATTGAAAAAAGTGACCTTTTTTGCTGTTGATCTTTCCCAGTTATGACATCACAGCATTGCTGCAAACACATGATAAAAATTCATGCACTTGCCAACTGGCATGTATTTACAGTAGTTGCAGTGTCCCAGCACAACATAATCACCATTTGTGGCCTTCCCAGGGAGCTTCCAATAAGCAAACTCTAATTGGGAAGGCCAGCTTTACTTAACAACCACATGCTTCATTTAATGATCACAGCAAAAAAATTGTAGAATCAAATGTGACTCACTTAAAAACCTCATTGTTTAGTGATGGAAGTTCCAGTTCCAGTTCTGGTCATAAGTTGAGGACTACCTATAGGTAGCAGAAGAAATTGACCTAATGCTTTGGTTGGAATGTTTTGCAGGTCCTCAAAACTTTTGTAAACTCTTCATTAAAACTAACTTCAAACTAACACAAGAGGAAAAGAACTAGGCAACAATCTCTTTATCCCAATGAGCTCTTTTTCTATTTGAAGCAGAGGTGGGATTCAGCAGGTTCTGACCAGTTCTGGAGAACCGGTAGTGGAAATTGTGAGTAGTTCGGAGAACCGGTAGTAAAAATTCAGACTGGCCCCACCCCCATCTATTCTCTGCCTCCCAAGTCCCAGCTGATTGGGAAGAAATGGAGATTTTACAGTATCCTTCCCCTGGATTGGGGAGGGAATGGAGATTTTAGAGTATCCTTCCCCTGGAGTGGGGTGGGAATGGAGATTTTACAGTATCCTTCCCCTGCCTCACCCACCAAGCCATGCCCACCAAGCCACACCCACAGAACCGGTAGTAAAAAAAATTGAAACCCACCACTGATTTGAAGTGAGGTTTTGTTTTATGCTTCAGATGTGATTTGTGTTATCTTACAAACTTGTACCTTGTACAGAATGTCACCAAAATACTCCTTTAAGAGATAGAAAGAGGCAATTTAGACCATCTGGAAAGAGTAGACTGGAGGAGAATCTATTTAGCAGACTGGCAAAGTGATATTTTCCCAAACCTGATATGTAATAACTACTGGAAAATATTCTTCCTGCCATGATGGTATATCATCCATATCCATTCCTTATTTTGAAATGAACAATCATGCCATAAAATTACAGCAGTAAACATATCCCTTTAGTGTTTTGCTATATATTTTATTGGATATGTAGCCATATTAGCTATATTATAAAATGGGATGCAATGTTGGGAATTGATGTATATAAATAGAATAGATACTTAATAAAATATATATCCAGTGTAAAAATGGCTATTAGCTATATGCTGAAGTTCTGCATCTGCAGAAGTTGCAGAGAAGAAGCATCAGACCAAGTATACAACATGGAGGAAAAAAAGAAGACATACTTAGCTATACTATATGACTGTTGAGATCATATCCAATGACATTTTTATGTAAGTGAAAGAGTTAACTTATGAAATAGCATATTCAGTGATGTCATAGCATGTTATAGTATCAAAAACTGGTGGAACAGGGCCTTATTTCACTTAAGTGTTATTAATGTCTTTCCTTAAATCCAAAGTATGAAGGCAATATTTAATCCCTCTTTTGATTTACAGTTATTTTAAAAATCTATTATGAGACTTAAAATGGTAAAGACACTTTCATATTTTAACTAGTTTATGGAGGAAATTGATGAAAGGAATTCAAAGGAGATCTAGCATTACAGTTGCTACGTTTTATGTGATTGGCCTATAACATCCATTAAGAATAGTAAAATAGAATTACGAGATTAATTTAAAACAACCAGTTTATATGTCTGAATGTCATAGCCGTAAATGAACCATCATCTGAAATTTCTAATAATAACTCAGATACACTATTTCTAGATGGGATAAAAACACTTAGGAATTGACACATTCACCCAGTGTTAAGGATTCAGGGATACCGATTCACATATAAACCAGCTTTACTACTTTACTAACTGGACTTCACATTTGTAGATTTTAGGTTAAGCTTGAAGTGCTTGAGCTCCCTTCCATTGTAGCTTTGTTTTATAAAAATTATATAATCCCCTGGCATTGTTTATACCAGTTTTGTAATGATCAATAATTTCATATGTTAAATCTAGATGCTAAGATGTGGATTTATTATATGGGCACTGATACATCATCATCTCCCAAATTCTTAGAGAATCCCAGTGACTTATAACAGCAACCAAAAAAAATATATACAGTACAAAAATAGAAATAGATAAGTGACAATTATGCTGCACCAAACACAAATGGTAGAATAGTCAATGTTTCAAGGCACACTGGGATGCTTTTACCAATTTCTATAAGATCATCACCAAGTGGACCACTCTGGCATCCGGGGGAGAATGTCAGAGCTATGTAGAAGAAATTTTCTGGCCTTATCTCCCACTCACCTTACTGGTTTAGAATATCACCAAAAGCCTCTCCCTGAGGGATGTCCTCAAACAGGTTGATTTAAGGCAATCTTATAGCATGTGTCTGCCTTATATGTGTCAAGAGATAAAGAGCCATTATAAGTTGAAACTAGCATCTAGCTAATTAGCTTAAATTGTATCCAAAACCTACAGTATTGGCCCATGAAATAGTAAAATTATCCCAGCCATAAATTCCAGTCATAATGTTGACTACTGTATTACAAACTGACTATAACTTCTGTTCAAAGGCTACCACATGTTAGTGCATTGCACAAACCCAACAATATGGCCATGAAGCCGTGAGTCATTGTAGCCAGATCCTCCCACTTCAAGAAGATTGGCAACCCCAGAACTGAACAAAGATTTTTCTGCACAGATGTTTCAATATGTTTGAAAAGGTCTCCTTAGAACCTGACTAGTTTTAGATTTTACCCATAATTGAAAAAGTTTTATACTATTTTTGAAACACTTCAGAATTATAATGAACAAAAAAGATCACTGATAGATTTCCAAAGGTGTCAGAAAGCATTGTTGGGGGCAATATGCTGACTCTGTAAACCACTTAGAGAGGAGTATAAAGCACTGTGAAGCAGTATATAAGTCTAAGTGCTATTGCTATTGGTAAATATATGTAATTTTTTTTTAATATTTCAAATAGCTGTTGTGGGCCAATGGCTCCATCTTATGGCAAATACCAAATGTGCAGGATTTTATTTTTATAAATTAGTTTTCTTCAACTTGGTTTCTCCAGTTATTTTGTAGTAGAAATCCCATTATTCCTAAATCACTATGACATAAAGCAGACTTATATAAAATTATGATAAGAAATGTTACTGTCCTGTCATTTAATACTTTAAAACGTTACTTATCATCACAGAAATTTTCTTATTGTATTATAAGTCTGTTGGCTTTTCTTTATTTTTTCTTATTGTTAGTTATACAATAACTATTAAATAATTAGTTAAATAAATAGTAATAGTAATTAGTAATAGCCACATTCTTTTGATATATTATCAATCAACTAGTAATTATTTTATTTTCAGCACATACCAGCACTTCAGTGTTGCCTAAACATAGGGAAAAATCAAATCCTAATTTATGATTGTTGATATTTTCAAGCATATTTTT